TATTTCAACCTACCTCACTTTCAACAGCCATTTTTTTGTTTGAGAGCAATCAACCTTAGCTGAATTTTTTTTTCATCACTGTTGAGTTAAAAAACAAGATACGTGCCTTGGTGTTTTGTTTAATTGGCCGTAAATATAATAACGGTGGTGCTGCTTTCAACGTTAGTAGCCAAGTAATGCACTTTATAAGATGTCTTCACCTGGGCTTGAATAAAAGCAAAAACATTGTCCTAATAACAAGATTAAAAATCTTTAAATTTTATATCGCAATGTAAAGTTATAGCAATTTTATGAAAAATACTGAATTTCAGCCAAAATCACAATATTAGCAATATTCATGCTTTAATTAAAATAGCTGTAACTTTTCAATGGAAGCACCAAATCCTATGAAATTTCTTTTCAATTGATATTCTTATATTTTTTTAATCGAAAAGAATTTCTATTGCGATCTAATTTTAATTTACGATAACTTAGAAATAATCAATAATGCAAAAGTAACAGCAAAATTGTGTATGCTGATGCCTCAAGTCTTTGAAAGATCTGGTTGTTGCAACTAACCAAGGAAAGAATTCGCAGAAAATTACTATCAATACTCGGCTTTTTGGTACCTCGAGTTACTCTTCTCTTTTTTTGCTTATGAATTGATGGACATGGGCTGAAGGTAGTATCGTGCATCGTCTAGTTTCTTAGTAGGACCGTTGTAGTGATGGAAGCTTTTGGTCAAGGCTGCTATTGTTGATAAGTGAGGATATCATAATACTAGAGTGTTTTACATTTCCTTTTGATGCAAAAATGAGAAATTTGTAACTTTGCCATAATAAAATAATAAAATAAAAATTTCTTATTTTATTTGCTGTAGGAGGAGAAAAAATTAATTAATGTTTGAAACGTTCGTAACGTACTTTTACACAATTTGTTTGTGCAAGGTTTATAGGAAACTCATTCGATTTTCATTGCATTGTATTCGTTCACAGTTTTCTCATTAGTGAATAAGATGATTTTTTTAGTTAAGTTATGGTCATGCAATACTACCCCTTCGAAAATAAAGCGGGAGTACAGGATTTATTTTAGGCCTTCATTCAGATATGCATTGTAAGTGTTATATACTTGATACACAATGAGTTCTGTGACATTATGTGACATGTGTATAGAAAGATGCATCGAAAAAATTGAATGATTCGATGAATGTGGGTAGTTTTTTACTAGTCAATTTGGTAGCTGTCATGACATGGCTACACTCTGTTCTTTTATGGTTTTTATAATGTATTCTTTGTGATTTTTTATTAAATGAAAACTGAATTTTTCAAAAAATCAAATCTCACTGCTAAATGCCTTCATTGCAAATATAATTTTACCATTTTGGTACATGTGTAGCAGTTGGTTATATAAAATATTTTTTTTTAAGTTGCTAAAACCAGCTTATTGGGGGGTGGGTGGCTTTAAACAGCAAGGGAGAGTTGGGGGTGGGTGACAGACGTCTTCGAGAAGGTTAAATCAATTAATAATTTTAAGAAACAGTAAGCACCCTGAGCTAGACCCTATAGGTGTGATGAGGGAGTACTTCTGCTGGATTTCGATGCCACGGCTGAAGCTGGTGCCACGGGTGGTGGTTGGGCAGTGATTCGCAGCAGTCAAGGAGAGCCAGTTGACAGTGTATTTGTCTGATTCTCACAGTGGTTGAACAACAGAGCCAAGTAGTGTAGACCATGGTGGCTAGAGTGGGTGAAATAAGAGAATTGATATACCAAGTCTTACGTTGGATAATGCGTTAGAGTTTATTGCATTTATGTAGTGCTCCTGCCGTAGCGTAGGTCTCGTCGAGCGAGCAAGAACCCAACAGGGGCTTAGATCAGGTGATCTGGATAGATGTCTTCAAGAGGTTGCACAGTCTTTTTTGTATGCTATAAGCTACTTTATAACGTGTCATGTTTACCATAAACTACTAGTTATCACCTAGCGAACGATAGGCAGTACTATCAATCGCAAAGTTTGAAATTAGAACTGTGGGTTAGAAATTTATGTAAAACGATTAAAATTGATAAATGGTAGTTATTTTAATGATTAATTCTCAAAAAAATAATACCCCGGAGGGTAAGACAATTAAAACTGTATTTCTATGCTGACTGCCAGAAAAGTATAACTTAGTACTTGGGTACTTAAGCACCAACTGATCTCTGGTCTCTTAAACTCTTTGTTGGTTACACTAGCTGGATACATAGAGCAATTATCCCTATACTTAAGTACTTCAACGTCTTACTTTTAATATTAAGTTTATAATACTAAACCAAAGCATCTCCAATTGCATAATCTACTGTACTTCTTCAGTAGAGCATTGACTTGCTCTCAAGCAGCCTTGCCTGAGTTTTTTTTCACGTTTACTGTATAAGCCATGTACAGCCAACATTTTTCAGAACACATTCAAATGTGATCAATTGATTTTAAATGTGTCTTGTATTATCTACAAGAAACATTTACAGCAACATTAGAATCTTCTTCAATTATTTCGTTACTTAACTTTACATATTAATTTTGGGTTAATTTATTTTACAGAACTCTTTTCTACTTTAAATTTTCTGTATATTCGATTGTAATTCGTTTTCCTAAGACTTAATTTAGTTCTCATTTAAAAGTTTAATGTTAGGTCTGTTAATATTATTGCATTATCGTTATAAAAATATTGAATGTCCTGGTTTAGGTTAAATTCTATTACACTAAGTTTTGTAACTTAAATTTCTTTTCAACTTAGACACAACGTACTTTGATTCCTAATGTTTAGCATTTAAGATAATTTAAGGCTACTGGTTTTTCGTGAAAGATTGCTTATTTCTAGTGGCAGCTTCTTTTACAGAGTGCATCGAGTTTCTCTCTTTTTGAATATGACCTTCGACTAGATATCTGGAAAAAAGTATGTAAGTAAGGTTAAACATGTATAATTACTTTTAAAACTGCTTTATTTTAGATACAATAAATTTGTTGGTAGCTAAAGATATATTTTAGTATAGTTACGATCTTGAATCTAATTGTTTTAGTTGTCTGATGTGGTTCTTATAAATTAAAATAAATTTGTACATGACTTACGATGACAATGAATATTATCTTTCGTTTATACTTATTCTAAGCTATCATATTTATTCAAATAATTACTATGAATTTAACTTTTAAAATTCTTACAGTAAGTATTATCACTGGATTTATTTTTCAGCACTTATTTTTGTGAATTATTGCTCTAATAATAACTTATTTTTCCACCTTATATTTTATATGCCTTGATATTTTTCTATAGTTTTCAAAGTTTTGAAGATCCATCATACTTATAAAACTAAAGATTACTTTATTATTAGTACTTAAATTATAACTTCTCATATTATGATAATATTCTAATTAATTAATACTCATAACCAATTGTCTAAATGTTGAAATAAGTATAAAAATCAATAAATATTAGATAACCATTTTTGTGAATGCTATTGTTTAAGCACCTGTTTCTTTAACTAAAGTACTTAAAATTTTTCTCATTATTCTGATTGTCAAGCTGACATTTATGATTATATTCCCATACATAATACTTGACATTTTGATATCAATCTTGTATTATTTCCTAATGTTAACATTAAGATTGTTGTTCTTATTTCATTTAATAGTTGTTATATCTATTATTGAATGTCCTATTTTTTTTTTTACAATTTGTTATTCTGTTGTACCTATTTCCTTAAAATAATTTGATGTTTTGTTGTATTTTTCTATGGATCACCCATAGTTAAAGATTACCTAATAATTTGGTGTCTGCAATTATAATTTATGTCTTTAGAATCATGTTCGTTAATTTAATACTTTGCATCATTCAATGTTTATTTTTACGTATGTACTTTTACTTAACTTTTAAGGTAGTTTACCGACAAAAATATAAAATTAATGTAATCACATTTCTACTTCATCTTCTTTATATCACACAATTAAAATTGTTACGGTAGGGTTATAATTTGTTACAACTTCTATTTTCTGATAAGAAATAAGTACTTTTACATAATCAACTTATTGGAAAACATTATTAAAAATTTTTTGTGTACCACAATATCATACGTTTTTCTTTTTATAGTCCATAGCAGTATTTAAATTCTTCTGTAACACATATTTTTAGTATAAAAACCCTTACACCTTTGAATTATTCTTATGACACTTGACAATTGTAATTAATAAAGCAGTAAGGTCTTTCAAAAATTGTTGTTATTGATTTCTATAAAGTCACTGTTATTAATATTTTTATCATAGGTTTTATAATTTGTAACAATGAATCCATTAAAATAAAATTATTGTAAATATTATGACAATAAGCATAAGTATTTGGTGGTGGGTCTTAAAGTTAGAATTAAAAAAGATTTATTGTTGTCTTGATTTCAATTTGAATTATTTTTTATTTTTTAATTCTATTTACAGTAGCGTTATGACTATAAATAGATTTTTTTATATTATTTTTACGTTTGTTAAAACAACAATACTTATCATTTATACCTTTAGTTTTATTCAAATTTTGATAATGATAGTAATTACGCTTTTATACCTTTTATCACTATCTTAATTGTTTTTGTGATACTTATCACTTTTATTCCACTTGTTTCATAATTCTTACTATCTCTATATGTTACAAATTTTGGCATGACTGTTATCGTCAAAAGTTACTGATTATTAGTAATTTAATTTCATAAAGTATAAATTGTATTAATTGTTGCCTCTTGCTATAAAAAACAGATGTAAATTATTTGTTTATACACAAGTAGTACTTGTTTTAGAAATGTTATATTTTAGTTTGTTTTTTGTACAAATTCTAGGTTGTGTATAATTTTTTTGTACAGATAAAAGTTAAAAAAAATTTTTAATAGTATTTATTCATTGAGTAACAACATATGTAAAAGTAGTATAACTGACTTTACGAAAACTGTGTGAAAAACTTATATAACGTTTGTAAAGCATAATACGTATTGGAGAAATTTAATAATTTTTAGGCTAGCAGCAGACGAGCTGGCATTGCTTGTGCAAACTGTGAAACAAACACGACTACTCTTTGGCGGCGAAATAACAATGGTGAGCCCGTATGCAATGCTTGTGGACTCTATTTCAAGCTTCATGGTGTAAGTACTTTCTTTTTATGTTAAACTCTCCCTCAGTGTGCGTCAACCTCACGAGGTTATAAAAAAGACACACTTTTTTCATGTATTTAAAATTTTTTTGCTAAATATAATAACACAACTAAAGAATAAATTGTCTGTAAATTTATCACTGCTGTAAGAAAAAAGCTAACTTTTACAAAACCAATTTAAGAAATAAAAATATGAATCCGTAAGTAACTTTTTTTTTGTTTGTTTTGCTTATTTTTAACATTTTTCTTTAACGGATGAAAAATGCGTTTATGTACACTACAGGAATAGTGGTAGTAAAGGACTCTGTGGATTTTCTTTATAAGACCACTGATACCCAACAAACATCCCCCCTGAGCCAAGCAGCTTTGGATCGATCCCGAAACCGCGTTAACAGTGCTTCAGGGTATAGCCACTGGCAACATTATTACATCTAGCAGAATTAGTAAGCCAGCTCGCCACCAGTTATAAGGAATGTTAATAATCTTTTCACATTCTGACAGGGACATGGGATCTCTGAAAACTGGTACCCATTTTCTAGTGCTCAATGAAAGGCTGCTATCCGTGCAAGCGTCAATACGTGCTTAATCCTTTTTTTAACTCATAAGTAAATTTACTTAGCATAGCGTGGGTCCACCTTTAACTTTACTAACCCTTAGAACCATGTTGCGTTAGATAGCCTATTTAGTGACCCCAGCATCCTGCGTAATGGCTCTTTTCTTTTCATTCTAATGTCAGACTACTGACCGAGCAAAGCTGTTAACAGGTTTCCATGTATCTTCAGTGCGAAGTACGTCAGAGACGACGTTTTCGGGTGGGGGTGTCACGTAGAGTTAGTTAGCTAGTTGCTCATGATTACGGTGACATCTCTTGCACATGAAAAAATGTGTACTTGAGGTATCACTCAATGCCGGACAGTAAGCACATCTGGGGGATGCTGTCACTGTTACATCAGCCTCATCATACTCCTATTGTCACGCTGACTAAGTTTTTTGCCATCTGCCACTATCGCTTTTGTCACCAGAGCACATAAAATTTCTCCACTGCTTCAGCGCAAGCAAAGTGACATAAATCGTTTGTGCTATTATCATAACATTGTTGGAAAAAGCTGTGTAGTATATGCACCTAGTCCACAAGGATTTGATACACTGCATTGTAGTGATTGTCCCGTCTTTCCAGCAGATATTGTATCCACCCTGTGAATATTTAATATGATACTTTCAATATAAAAAAAAAATTCTTTAAAACTGCTCCAATACATCAAAAAATTAGAACGTATCGTGTGCATGTATTTTTGATGCAAAAATATTCGAAACAGATAGTAAGTTTTCAAATATTTCTGTGAAATCTTCTTAGTATGCTGTTTGTCTTACTTTTTATTTATGCTCATTTCAAGACAAAAACTTTAGTTAAGAAAAAAAGTCCTTTAGTTTAAGCGATTGCACTACAAATGCCTGTCTTTGTTAACTGCTTTTTAAAAGTAAATTTGTTTTTAATTTTCTGATTTCAAGTTTTCGATATTAATACAATTCGAAAAACTGAACATAAGATTAACTTTTTATCTATTAGTTAACTCTTCGAAGTTTATTATTACTACTTTACTTTTTGTAGTGGAAAGCTCAAAATTATCGCACAATAAGTGTTACTAAAGAAATACATTTCTAACTATTGTTGGTAAAAGATTTTAGTTAAAACTTTAAGTTGAATTAAAAAAGGAGAGCGTCTGTCAATAATGATGGTACGTCGTAGAGGTTTCATTCGAAAGTGTTGCGACTTTTGTTGTAAAAAATTCAAGCACATTGGTGTTAGCCAGTAATTTCTATAATTACCATCCAGACAACCATTATTTAACTACATGTTACGAGCGACCACTTGGGGTAGACGGCTCCGAGCTGAGAGGGGGGGAGTTGAGATTGACTAGAGTCGTTTTCCAAAGCGTCAAAATGTCCCTTCAAGCCAAATGACGACAGTAATATCACCCCCAAAGCTGTGGCAGTGATAGGTGCGCTGGTCTCGTTGTAGTCTGAATCGTTATAGGAGTGTGGCGATCGTGCAGTAATTCGTTATGAATTGGATGGTCTAGCCACCAGGGTGTTGATGTATAAATATGTTTTTTTTTTTCTTACAAAGTTTTCGTATTTCTATACATATTATATTTTCTACCTACGCCAGGATCCCTTAACCTTGCCTCCATGGTTCTTTCAATGCCAGGTTGCCTGTAGATCCTATAGTGGCGGCAACACTTGAACCTGGTGTTGAGGGGGTGGTCTACGTGGTGTAAAGATACTGGGGTTGATAGGAGTAGTTCTAATTCTCTGGGTAGGGTATCTCCTTATAGGTTTGGGGAGAGGTAGCCTCAAAAACGTCTTCCGGGAATAGGATGGCTACGTCCCGGGTACCCTTTCTTGAAAGATATTCAAGGGAGGTAATGACCATATATCTCTGTGAGAGGCAGTCGTCGATACGCGGACCCAGGGTTAATTGCCTCCACTCCTGGTTGGGAGGTGGAGAGATCATGAGCACTGGGGACCAGTCAAGAAGTGAGAGAAGGAACGAAGAATAGGTGAGAAAAGCGAGAGTATGAAGATTTTACGTACAATGATATTTATTGAATGTGTACGATTTTCTACCACTGTTTTAAGTTATAACAGATGTAAGAAAGAGATACATACAATACACTTATTTGTATGATCTAGGCGATATTATTGGGTCGTTGTACAGCTCTTCTTATGTACAATAAGCATCTTTTTAAGTTGTAATGTTAAGTTTCCACTTAATTTTAAAGAAAATTGATTATTTTAATTAATAATAAAACAATACCCTGGATGGTAACATACAGTTTAGATTGTGTAAGATAGAGCCCATTATTGACGAGTATTTTGTAATATCACTTTTGAAAATGTAAGAATAATTGTGGAGACGAAGTAAATTTCCCTTACTTTTTTTTTCATCGTTATAAAGCGCCCTAGATCTTTAAATAAATTTTATCCTAGAAGAGATTCTAAGACCTTTTTTTCGATCAGCAATCTGCATTTATCGAATTAAAAAAAAAAGCTTTTGAAACTTGGAAGTGGTCCACTAAAATTTGAAACACATTCTTTACCGTCGAACTTGTAATGTTTATCAGACTTCTTAATAGCTTAAAAAAATGTTCTAAAGGGTACCAGGTTAAAGAAAATATCTTTCTGTTTAAGATGTTTTAAAGCTGTTTTAGTTCATGTTAGCAGTATTTTTATTACTTTCAGGGTTTGAAACCATTTTAGCTTCAATGTGCAATATTAATTAAATATTTTAAAAGTCTTTATAGTTAACAAAAAAAATTGCTTGCAAGTACTGAAAATGTATGGTATAGGGCCTTTCTAAACTAAATGGATCAGAATAATTCAAAGCTAATATTGTTACTTTACCTATGTACGAATAAACCTACAGGTATAATAAATCCTTTCTTTCAATAAGAAAAAAACACAAGTGTGCTATTTTTCAATTACTACGTATATTACGTATATTGCGTACGCAGTTACGGCCCGAAACCATTTATACAGGTATAACGGTAAGTGCAGAAGAATTATATTAACAAAGAAAAGTTAAAAATTAACTAATTAAAATCATAACTAAGAGTTACTTTTTTTCCTTCAGTTTGAGTAGTGACAAAATCAGTTTTGACAGTAAAAATTACAGAATTACTTTTTATTTTTCGCTTTTTTTTGCTACATCATTTCCTCATACATCTCCTTTATATGTTTTATTATCCTTCTTTTCAAGTGCAAATGAATTTCTACAAATATAAGCCTAGTGAATAAAATCACTGCGAAAATTTATATTGATATTCCCTACAAAAACCAACAAAATTTAATGTTCCCATTAAAAATTGATCTATAGATTTTGAAGATGTGATAGTCTCTGCAAGAGGCATCAACAAAAGAAATATACAATGACATATAAACGTATAACTTTACGTCTAATACTACTTATCTGTTAACTTACGCTTATTTTTTTAATTGTTGTTTTGTGGTAAAAAACTGATTTTCTGACTATACTACACGTTTTTTATTTTGCCTAAAAATAGGGAGTATTTTTTAACTAAAATAATAACTGATTTTACATAAGCACTAAAAATTAAGTTAAGCAGTCCTCTCCACTCTACAAAAAGTATTCGTAAATTTCTCCAAGACTAATCCTCGTAGGGACAGAGAAGTTATTAATTAGGAAAATACTATTAATACCTTCGATACGTTAGAGCTCATATGTCAATAACTTTAACATAAGAAGAGACAGCTTGAATAAAATTTTTCAATATCACTACTGCAAATTGTGTGCCACCTTTCCCGTAGGCATATTTGTTAAAAACCTAATAAATGCGATATTCAAAACTGTATTTCACTCTTAATAAGATTTTAACTTAAGCAATAAAAATGATCAAATCTCATACTTTCACTTCATACTAAGACTCAATTCGTTATGAATTTCACAAAACAAATACTGAAATGAATTAACCGTGAAAAATTTTTTTTTATAATACTTCTGATACGAAAAGTATAGCTTTTAAAGCTTAGATATATTATGAATGTAAAAAGTAGGTTCTTTGTGAAGAGACAAATTGTATTATTAAATTTATTTTTCTTTTTCTCAATGATAAAACTCAATGATTTTTAAGACTTATTCTTGACGAAAGTCATCGACTTACGAAGCTGACTCTGTTTTTTGTAATTCTCAAAAGTAGAAAGTGATAACCGAAGCGAGCCACCAAGCTTAAACACACAAAGTCAGCGAGTGCCAGCCCCATAGCATGTAAGACCAAGAAATTTTGACTAAATCTTTACGCAAGGTGTATTTTTCCGCACGGTACTTTAGTCAGTAGCTTTCCGCTGCTTATTGGGTATGGACTAATGGTTCATCAATTCTTTTAGATTCACCACTTATCAATTTATTATATGTAGCCTGACATCGCTCTTATTGATATAAATGTAAGTGTAATAAAATCCTCATAAGGATGTAGAAAATAAAAAATCAGTTCTATTTAATAGTTACGGAAACACCTCTGACAGATTAGTAATAAAATAAAAGTAAACAAAGGGAGCAATAATAATAATAAGATATAGTAACAATACTATAAGATGTGATAAAAAATATTTATGAATCTCCAAGAAAAAAATTGGAGTAAACAAATTTTATATCCCTTAAAACTTCAATGCACACATTGTCTTTTTCCTTTTTTTTCCTAACTAGTGAATAACCAAATAGTTGGAATATCTGCTGATCCCAGATCCTGTAAAAAGTATGAGACTGCAGTCCACAACCTTAAGTTTTAAATTGAAGGCCGGGTTAAATAATAATCACAATTATTGAACATACGTAGTAGCAGAGCGTGGTTGTGGTCTCCAGCTGTTTGGTTATTTTTGATATGTTTCATGGTTATCATTTTTAAGAAAATTAATAAACATAATTCAAAGAGACACAGTAATAAGTGACGTAAAATGCCCCTTATAGTACAGTGTGTGCAGATATGTTAACACGAAGAGAAAAGTCATGAGCTCCTTCCATAGCACGTTTG